ATTTTTTGTTGTTGTAAAATCTGCGTTGAAAAATTGCACTCACTGTTTTTAGCAATTGAATTGTTGAATCAGCAATTTTTTTTTTCCGTGTGATTTCAACGCCGCATCATTCGTTGCCTGGTCTGCATCTGCCGATTATCGATCGGGTTCCGTTGAAAATGCAAAGGAGGCCGGAAGAAAGTCATCGGGCCCTAACTCCGGTCGGTCCCAACCTCCTGTCGTCCTGTCACCGTGTGCCGATGCGACGATGGAGAAAGTGGAAGCGAACTTCGCGTCGCAACCATCGACCATCTCATTGATTCCGATCGAAATTCAGAAAACGATACCCAGACCCACGGCCAATGTCGCCTCCACGTCATCGCTATTCCAGCCGACGCCTTTTGCGTCCTTTTTGCGAGTTATACCACACACGTGCTTCGGAGTTCGCATGGAGATGTTGCATGTGTGAGGGATTTGCGATTTGACCATTGATTCTTATGTAAAAATTCTCGAGAAACACGATGGTGCCACTGGTTTTCTTTGAAATCAACTCCCAGACTCAAAAAAAGCTCTCAAGTTGAGGCCAAAATGAAGGGGACATCCCACGCTATCCTGAGAGTCCACCTCTACATCAAGACGAACTCTCCATATTAAGGTAGGAAGCAAATACATTGGCAGGGCTGCCACTTTATTTGAGGACTCCAAAACTGAAAACACGCCAACCCTGCTAATGTACATATTTGCTCCTTATCTTTGCATGGAGAGTTTGTTTTGATGTAGAGGTGGACTCTCAGGGTAGGGTGGGATAATTGGGATATCCCCTCCATTTTGGCCTTACTTTGAGAGCTATTTATGAGCTTGGGGGTTGATTTCAGAGAAAACCAGTGGCACCATCGTGTTTCTCGCGAACTTTTACAAAAGAATCAGTAGTCAAATCGCAAATCCCTCACAGATGCAACATCTCCATTGCGCGCTTCATTTCCACATTCAACGATGCGGGCATAATACCTCTCGGTATACTTCGAGTACTATTATAGGGAGAGTATGGACAACTAGAAAATTAGGAGGTTAGGTTTGATCAGGTCATGTAGCTCTTAGGGCCAAAAAGGCAGCCAACCTATGAACTCGAACGATCCAGTGGTACTAATTCAAACTCCGAGAGTAGGTACACTGATTAAAAATTATAAAAGCACGTATACAACTTTGATTTTGCATGCATTTTCACAGTTTCAAAGACTTAATCCTTAAACACGCTTGATTACAATGCGCAACAACAATGGTTTTCATTGATGTTTCAAAACGAATGAGAAGGGGGCGGCAAAATACTAGCGGCCCATGGGCGGCAAGTAGGTAAATCCGGCCCTGACTGTCGGCCCTATTGATTAATCTTTCAGATGCACACTTAGGTTGGCAGCGGCACTTCTCTAGTGATTTTCGTTTTTCACGTTGTCGCCCTATTGGGCCCTAAGAGCTACATAAATCGAGTGAGTTGTCCATACTCTCCCTATAAAGGTGCTCTAGCTTCACACATGAACGTCGGTCCTTTGAGACATGCAAAAAGTTTAGGTTTTACTTCATTTTCGCGTGGTAAGTACCCCCTACCTACTTCGGAGTTCGAATAGTTACTCGCTAGATTTCCACTTTATTTAACGATGAGAGCACAAGTAATACCGACATTCATAATCGTCGGTAATGGTCCACTAGACAAGGTGCGAATTTGAGTATTTTGAAACATGTTTCTTAACCAGAATTTCACGTAGAACACGATTTTTGTACCAAAAATTACTGAAATCAACACCTAACTAAGATATTAACCTATCAAACCTATTACCTAACAGGGTTCTTTAAGGTAATTTGTCAAGGTTTTTGACCTGGTCGACCTGGCATGCGATAAGTAGCATCGGTTATGTAAAAAATCTCGGCAGATTTAGAATTTATAACCCAAAAAAAGGACGATAGACCCTCCACATGGGCTTAAAGAATCATTCTGTGCAAAATATTTGCAAAATTCAAACAAATGAGAGCAGATTACTACTTGGAAAAACCTCGCATTCGATACAGAAATCGATAACTGTATCGAATGCGAGGTTTTTTTTCTAAATAAGTACTATTCTGCTTTCATTTCTCTGAATTTTGCCAATTCTTTGGTTTACCTAGAATGGTTCCTTGGGCTCTTGCGCACGGGCTAGCCCGCTAGCGTCCTTCTATTCAGCTAAAAATTCAAAATCTGCCGAGATTTTTTAAGTAATTGTTGCGATATATCGTCCGCCAGATCGACCGCGCCAGAAACCGTGACAAATCACCTTAACAGTGGATGCTGCAAATGTGTCACGGTGCCTTATTTATTTTCACGATTTCGTTAATCGAACTGTGAAAATAAATAAAATTTAATTTAATTAAATCTCGAGAATAACGCTTGGCGGCACAATTCCAACAACGCCTGATGAAACACGGGGATCGAAAAAGTAAAACTTGCGTATTTGAATAACTGCTTTTTTTTAAAGTTGTCTTTCTAATTTGTCATTACTTTCAACGATTTGGACTCTCAATCTGCCGTGCTAAGGAAAAACACCGTATGAACATTCCAGAGTTGCCAAATTTTCCTTGATAAAACAGGAATTTTTGACAACATTCATGCATATTTTTCCTTGAAATTTTTGGAAAATAATGTTCAAAATTTTCCCAGTAACTTCAGTTTTTATCGGAGGAAACTTGGCAACGTCTGAATGCGCACATGGCGTTTTACCTTAGCTAGGCGGCAATGTAACCCTCTAAATCCCTTAAATCTTCCGTAAAATAAGCTTAGGTAATAAAAGCAACGGGCGATATGACAACGCTGGTAAACCCGGCCATGATTCTAGTCAGAGACTTCGGGGGTTATATATAGCCCGGGCAGGTCACACTGTGTCGCTGCACATCATCTTCCTCCGCCGAGACTTTTTGCCTCCCCCCCCTCCCCCCGGGGTTGTCGCGGGTCCCATACAGCCACTCACCTCCCCGAAGACCTCCCCAAAGACGGGCAGACAGCCTTGGCCGGACTCTGCTTTCCAACAATGCAACATTTCGGCCTTTCCTACCGATTTTAGTACGCGCATTTTTCATTTCAGTGGAACGGAGGTATGCCTTTTCCGCACAAAACCCGCTGTTTTCGTCATTGCCCCACGAAAATCGCGATTGAAATTTCCGCACTAATTCCATCTTCATCAGTCGTGGCTTAGAAAAATATCCTCTCTTTCAAGTCTACGATATGCATATAATATTCAAAATCAGATAAGAACCCTCATTCACTTGCCATCAAGTTTTGGCTCGACTTTTTTTTGGCCTGTCCTACTTACGTCCTAATGATGTTATTCTAGCTTTTGGAACTTTAGAAGTTGTTGCTCCGAAAGATATTCAATGTAACACATTCTTAAAGTAGATTGAAAAAATTACATTAATCTGCACGGTGTTGCCAAATTGTCCGAATAAATATTTGCGGAAATATTCTGTGCGGAGATGTCAATCTAAGATTTTGTGTACAAATTTCAAAATCGGAAATTTTGTGCAGTAACGTCAACCTTCCAGTGAAACGTGTCGCACATTTCACGCATTGAAGATTTCTTCTCCTGGAAAGGCTGCCAGGAGGAAAGTTTTATTTTTCATTCTGAAGGAAATAATTTTCAGATTCCAAAATGATGTGCGACGCTTTTCTGAACGTCAAGTGGCGGAGATATCGTCACCTTCCAGGCAAAGTATCACAAGCGCCATGCGACGTTTAACAATTTCCGCCGCCATTTTATTTCTTTACTGAGAAATTGTTGGTTGAATCTGTTCGAAAATTTCACTAAATTTTATCGGCAGCACAAATAAAATTCGGTGTAATTTTCGGACAGCTTCGTTGAACAATTTCTCTGTAAAAAAATATAATGGCGACGGAAATTTTTAAACGTCGCATGGCGCTTGCGATACTTTGCCTGGAAGGTGACGATATGGCGTTCTAGCTTAGAGTCTAATTGACCGTATTTCCCGGTCGTTTTGAAAACCAGGCGCATTTTTTTAATCAATTTATGTTTGGAGAGAGGGAGCTTAATTTATTTTCCGGGAGAAAAATTAAGGGGACGTAACGCCCTCAAAATTAATTTTGGTCATTAAACAGATCGAGTATGTCTTCAGAAATAGGAGGACTTTCTTCTTTTTTTTGTGTGTGTGTGTACCATCTGTGGGAAAAGGAAAATTTTCACTAGTCCACAGAGACAAGGTATTCGGTGAAACGGATTTTGTGGAAATGAGCTGAAAATCGACTTGTGATGTCTCAACAGAAAATTCATTCAAGGCAGTATCCTTAGGAATGGGTTAAGAATGTTGTAGTTAACTACTGTGTCAATTATGAGAATTCGGCAGCAATTTTGTATCCTGAACATGACAAATTTAAAGATTTCACGACAAAATTCCTTGAATTCTCAGTAAAAATTGCCCAATTTTTCGGAAATTACCTAGTCATTCTGCAAAATTTCTAGTGCAAACAGAGATCTTTTGTGTAATGTTGCTCCAAGAAATGAAATCATTACATTTGATGAAAAAAGTTTATCCAGAGGAGGGTTGAAAAACCTTCACTAAATAGGCTTCTTAGCACTGTCTCGAGTAGATTCGCATGCATTTTGTCTCCTGGTTTCCGTTATATGCATTTCTATCTAATATATTGCTGGTATACTGAGGCTAGACCAGAAAACGAGTACCCCAATTACAACGTTTCAAAATCTCCACCGTTGCAGTAGTTATTTAATTACATAAAAAAAAATGAGTGTGACCAAATGTCCAGAATCTTTACAGAATATTCTGCACATGGTGAGAAAAAAATCAGGAAAAATTGCAAAAGAGTAGGAAATATTATTTGGTTTTCAAGCAAAAAATAACACATGAAGAGGATCCTTTTTTCTAATATTGCGTAGATTTTTCTTGAAAAATGATCATCATATGTATAAAAATGAACCCTCCACCAAAACAAAGTAGGTAAATGAAAGAAAAAATAGAGTTTTTCTTACGTTTGAGAATTGAAGGGTAATCCTATTGTGTTCCTCTTGGCACATCTTCTTGGCTTTCCGCTTTTCTGAGCAAAGACTACTAAGCTTGTCCAACGTCTCCTTCTCGATCAGATCCGAATTGGCTTTCACTAGTTTACCGACATTATCCAACTCCTCCATCACACTTTTCCACGTTTGAACAACAATACTACCACTCAAGTCCTCCGAACGATCAATCTTATTGCCGGCAGACGCGACCGAAGACAGCGTTTGTGCCCACTCTCTATCGCACTTGACTTTATTGGCAATGCAGCGTTTGATCGTTTCGAGCAGTCGCAACTCTGCATCTTGACGATTAAGGAGAGCCTCATGGGCTGTTCTACCGGGCAAATTGACAGAGAATCCCATTTTGAATAACAGATAAAATCAGCAGATAACTAAGAAATCAACAGGGCCCTTAATTTATACGATACCGGGAAAATTTACAAGGAATTCCATTTTGAATATCCAGTAGTAAATATAGCGCGTGATTGAAGCGTTGGTAGGAATTTCAAACTGTGCTCTTTACATGAACACACTTACTTACACAGCCCCATCTCTTAGAGGAATACCTTCACGAGGTAGCATGAATTAAAATCCGAACGGTGGAATAGATAAAATGCACATCGAATCCTCAGGCAAAATAGAAATAATTCATGAGAATAGACTGATGCTGTGGGCAAGAGGGAAACAGTGGATCACAGATCAGAGACCGCACAGTTCGTTTAATAGGTAAAATATCTTAATCGTAGTTTAAGGGCGCGAGACACTAAAACCGGCTGGAACGAAGCATGATAAGCTGGAAAGTCACAGGTAATGGACAGGTGCAGCGGCAGACAGGTGAGTTTAACGACACTTCGACACTTGTAAACAAAGACACGAGAACAAGACGCTACGCTGAGAGATAGTATCAAGTTGTTTCCATGATTCAACCGAAGATCTAACTAAGAAGTGCACGGTACGAAGACACCAATTGCGAAACGAACACGATTCGAAAACAAAATTTTGTTTTGGAAAATTTAGGCGACCACGCGTCAACGAAGCGACGAGCAACGCGTGAACTTCGTGCGCTCGCGTTTCTCCGAAAACTGAATCGAAAAACCATAACAAAACGGGAGCCCCCTCCTGTTTGCGCTGTTGCCGGACGTACGAACGTATTCCGCGGTGCTCTCGCCCGAGATTACAGGGAATTATTTGGTCGATCATGAATTTATTTACAATTTACATTGTAGTTTTTACGGTGGAATCTTAGCCTTTTCAGAGAAATTTTGACACTGAGTGAGTAAGAATATGCACAAGTTGCGGCAGACAATATCCGACTTGGCAACGTATTGTTTTCAACTTGTTGCTTGCCCTGGAGTTGCCAAGTTACGGTTCGAAAGCTCATAATATTCCGGACTTAGAGATGAAGGTACCAATGGAGACACTCGAAATAAAAATTTAAAAACTCGCTTTCAAAATCTGTGTCTTTCAAAAGTGATTTCTTTGAGAAGGGAAAGTTGATGGCGAGTTTTCAAAGGTTCTATAAGAAATTTCACGATATTCGGGGAGATCGTGCAACAATCCGTGACTCCGATGGTTTAGGTTCCTGCCACTAGAATGCACCACAGCATAGGGGACAAAAATGATCTGTCATAGAATTTTGTTGAAGGGACTTTGCATATTTTGTCGCTCCTTTGACGTAAGGGCGTATCTTAACTTCCGCATGATTTTAAAGAAGCATGGATTCCCATGAAAAATAGGGCTCATGTAGAAATTGAGTTACGTCAGACAGACGACAATCTTAGGGGCTTGGAGGACTGCGTATAAGTGCAGTTTTTGAAAAAAAAATGGAGATTTTAATGATTTCAAGTTAAATTAGCCTGAATGTATATTCTGTGAAAAATTCGCTCCCAAATTACAATTTTCAGGCATCAAAAAGTCAGTTTGAACTTTCTTTTCACCTTGAAGGTTCATGTAATTTCGAAACTTCAAACTTGCATTTCTCAAAATAGCAAAAACTGCTCTTATGCGCCTTGTCCTCCAAGCCCCTTATTTACAGTGTCATTTTTGGGTATATTGAAAGAAACTTCAAAATAATCAAGATAAAAGTATGATGACATGAAGAATTTCATAAATGAATACATAAAATGAATAGAATAAAGTTCATAGTATCTAATCATGAGTAAGTAAGTGCTAGGTAAAATGGATTGCAAAAACATACTTAAATAAATCTTCTGTCTTACTTCAGAAAAAGTAGCTGAAAAACTCAGGTTCATGATTGCTCTGATATGAGACGAGAAAAAATAGAAAGAAAAAAAGTTACAGATAAAATTTCTTTATTATAAAGAAAAAGTTAGAAAAACTATACAGATTGGCAGAGTTGAAAAAATGAAATAAAATTTTGAAGAAAGAAAAAACATTAAATGGCCGAAAAACAGTTAAAGTTCAGTTCATATAAAACTTAAAACTACATCAAAGCTGCCTCCATAGCTTAAAATGGCACGACATAACACAATATGGCACTTCGAGAAAACAATTTCCACACACAAAAGTATTGAGGAATGTGGAGGAAAACATAAGCCAGATTTGCTACTGGATATGACTTGATCTTACAATTGGTAAACTTACCAAAATTTGAATTCAGTTAGAAAATAATCAGAAACAGATACCTAGACTGGTTTCCAAACAAGATATACAGGACACCAATTCTTGAATGTTATGCGAAACAGAAGTAACGATCTTCAGAGAACAGTCCGTAATTTCGGAGTATGGATGTTCAAATTTTCTTCCATTCAGAAAAGACCGACAATTTCTCCAGTGGTGGTGTTCAAGTCAATATCATAAATGCTGGGTCGAATGGGAAGTCCAGGGATTTTTGTAATCTGAAACCACACAAAAAGTAACAGATTAAATTGAAAACTGCACTGAGAGATATGCGATTATATTTTTAACAGCCAACTTCCGTATGTCATTTATTTCAAAAACTTGAATTCATTCTTTAGTAGGTACATATACATACTTTCATCAGAGCACATTAAGAGAAGGTAATTTTGGAAAGCCCGAAAAGAGATGTGATAAGGTAGTAGACCTGATACTTTTCCTCTGGATTCATAAATACTTATGATTATGATGAAAAACTTAGGGCTTGTAACGTTACCATACATTGACAGGATGATGGCAAAGAAAAACTCAATGATTTAACAGGAAAATACTACTGCCATGGTTCAAAACTCGACGGTGAAACTAAGGTTGAAAGTTTCTTTTTTTACCTCTCCAGCAATTGCGACCAGGAAACCAGCTCCAGCTGAGAGATAGACATCCTTTATTTTGAGAGAGAAATCGGTAGGGACACCTTTCAGATTAGGATCCCCACTCAGCGAGAGAGCAGTTTTCGCCATGCAGACAGGAACAGAGCCAAAACCCTAGAAACAAATAAAATTCATAATTTATAAGGTAAGCAAATAACTCACTTTCCTCTTTAATTCCCTATTATTGGTATTCTCAATAAATAATATTGATACCATACAAAAGAATTTTAAAAACATTCATGAAATGAAAATTGCCTCTTCCTGTAACTTTATTCCCTGGAAAGGAAACATAGGAACTTTTTATTTTTTGTTTGGCCCGTTAAAAAGGAACGTTGCAGCTCCAAAACGTCTCAGGTTTTGTTTTTATATTTTAGCCTTGTTTCGTTTACTATCATCAAAACAAATCGATAGTGTAAGTTTGCAACCACATATCTCATTTGCCGAGTTTGAAAATCTCTGCTCTTATTTTATTTTTTAAAGCAGCAAAAATCGACATCATTCGTTGAAGTTTTTGCCAAATTTTCATCGCACAGAGAAGGAAAAATCATAGCAGTTTTTCAGAAATGCTGTTACGTAGTTTTCCATTTAAAAGATAAGGCATGACAGGAGGTCTGCCACGTCGCAAACCAAGGTAGGTTGCGGACTTATGCGGTCAAAATGTAAGATGTTACACAATGCTAGTCAATCTATCAATACGTCAAAACAAGAAGAAAAGATTTTTCAGGCAATTACAAACAATGTGAAATTCCATCTAATGTGAAATTTCTTGATTTTTCAGTACATACATATTTGTACAATGGAGAATTTGTAGGTGCCTGAAATTTGATAAATTTTGTGTTTAAATGGGCGCTACCAAGTGAGCTGAACGCGAGGATACCCTCAGTTCACAAATTAGACAGTTATTGAAGGAGATATGACAAAATGATCTAATCATGGGTTTATATGGGAAATGCCGCCAGACAATGTCACTAGGCAGTGCATTTTCTCACTTTTAAATCTCTTTTTATACTATTTCCCAAGTCACTAAAAAATTAAGAAAAATACCACAAAATCAGCTCTTTAGGTGCTTTCAGATGAAGCTATAAAAAAGGTGTTTACAAATTCTCCATTAGAAATATTTCCCCAAATTCAAGAATGTTCGAAAATATTCAAGATTGAGAAGATGAAAATTCAGAAAATAAGTAATGCCAGTGAAATTTTAACTTTCAAAATTTTTGAGGGAGACCGAGAGAGAAATCAATAAAAGTACTATTCCAGATGAGGAAAGAACTTGAAGATGATCTCACCTGCTCCTCATACATTTTCAATTTCTCCAGCGCCTGTTCAGAAATATCAATACTGCTTGCTCCATACATTTCTTTGGCGATTTTATCTAGTTTTTGGAACAGGGGAAGCTTCAGATCGTAGAGAAAGCTGTGACAAATAAAAGGAAAAAATTAGTACAAAAAGCTTTAAATGAGCAACTAAAGAAAAAAGATATGCAGAATGCAGATTCTCTGATAATTTACCTACCACATTATTACAGTCCATAAATTACGTCACCCAAAAAATGATAAGATTTTTTCAAATGCCGAGTTTATTTGTCAACTATAAATGGAGACATTGCTCATCGAAAAACACTGCAGCAGTGCATATCATCATTTCTTCCACCTTCGTATCAGGGGCTCAGGTACCTAGATACACATTCATATTCAATTATCTTAATTAAATATAATTCATTTCATACTTAAGTAAATATAGACAGGAATAAATGTCAAATTGTGACTAAAAATCTTTAAATCGATACCAAAATTTTTATGAATGTTTTGATTCAACATAGATGCACTAATTTTTCTCAGCTAAAATGGTTTGCGTGTTTTAGAACTGAGACGGTGAGACATAGATACCCTACATAGTTATTGCAAAAATTGTTAAAACAAACTTTTGGACTTCTGCTGTTTTAACAAAAAACAGGTCCGTAATTTAGAAGGACAATTTTCAGGCTTCAGTGATGATTTTCAATTGATAGATACTGTGCTTACTGGAAATTTTTAGGTGAACTCGATGCAGCAATAACAGCATCTGCCAGTGGTATGGCGCCTTCACCGCCATTCTCCCAATGCGTTGATACGACTGTGTCATAGGCACCAGCCTCAGCGGCTTCAGATTTGATGACCTCCCACTCCTTCTTGGTATCAGTCCTGAAAATTAATGAAAGATTTAAAAAAAGAGATAAAAATACAGTATAATGTATAATGTATAATGTAGACCTCAAAATAAACTATTCGTCGACTCTTTCATTAGCATGCCTGAGAATTCTCATGCGGCAAGAAATGAGTACTGTGAACGACACCTGAGAATTTTCATTTCGCATTATGCGCTTGAATTTCTCGCGTTAGTTTTCTCATATCTCTCTTCTCTTACGTTCGAAATTAGACGTGTAGCATGTCAATAGCCCAAGTGCAGAACAACGTAACTGCATAGCAGTGTCGGAAAATTTCCGCTCCTACTTCACTCTTTGAAGAAAGACAAGTTGAGCACAAAGCTTGAAATTCTAACATTGAAGGAAAATCAAGGAAGTTTTCAAGAAACTACGCTCACTGGATTTCCAAAGAAAAAATAAAGTATGACAGGAAGTCTGCACTATCGTTAAAGAAAATACGAGGTTCTGCGCTATGGCCATCAGTATCAATGGTCAAAGTCGGAAACCACACATCTCCATTGCGATGTTTCAGAGTTTTTGCTCCTGTATCATTTTTTTGAAGAAAAATAAGGTGGCTCAGTAGCTTGAACTTTATACGGATTATTATACTAGTGGGGAGTGGAAAAATTGAGAAAGTTTTCAAGAAAGTACATTTACTAGTTTTTCAAAGGAAAAATAAAGTATGACAGGAAGTCTGCAATGTTCAATACAGAGATACGAGGTTCCTCATTTTAACCATTGCTATGCTATCTGTTGGTAAGAATTAAATCTACAACTACATACACTGTATTTTCAACAGAGTACGTCTCAATCACAGTCTCCAATTCCTAGCTCAGCAATTGATGGGTTTGATTACAGTATCACATGATTCGTGAAATTTTTCTCACCTTCCAGAAAGCGGGTAAGCAGAGAATAGAATATTTTCAGATTTGCCGAAATAATGAACTTGAGAAAATGTGTCAATTTCAAAAATTAAGGGATAGAATCTTTTCTTCTTTTTCATTTTTTGATATGAACTCGAGCAAGATAGTTTTACATGAAAGTGGTGAAATCAACTTACGACATTGCATTGATAGCTACGACAACCGGGACACCAAATTTACGACCATTGCTCACATGCTTCTTCAAATTTGCGCATCCTTTTCTGACTAGATCTAGATTTTCCTGTAAAGAATTGAGAGAAAAAAAGGTAAAATAAATATTTTTGATTATGTAATTTTTATTTTTCAGAGCACAGTACTGGATTTATTAGTATTTCTCGTATCAGATCCCATTTGTTCTGAGAATTTGTTCGTTCTGATGACTAAATTTAAACTAGAACAGTTCTTTAAAAAAAACTGTAGAGGGACCATTTCACTTATTAATCTTTAGGGTAAAAATATTTGGAATTAAGTGTGACTCTCAGTCGTTACATCATTTTAGCTCCACATTCTTCAAATGGTTTTAAGGGGGATCCTTCTCCTGTGCAATTTCAAGAGGACAATAATAAAACTAAAAAAGAAAAAAAAAACCTGGGCTCATTTTTAATTTGAAGAACCACAAAGATAGAAACAAAAAATAAAAAAAGTACGAACGATAAAATCCTTCTTCTGGTAGAGGAGGATCAATTGTGACATAGTCATCATTCCACAAACTAATCGTAACAAAATTTCTCGAATGAAAATGCTGCTTGGTCACAGAAAGCATTTAAAATGAAGGCCACTTAGACAGATCTACACTAACCAGCCCTAATAATTTAAAATGCAAATTGTCGAACCTGTCTGTACTCTTCCGGCAAGGGGGTTCCTGCGACAACTGCTGGTCCACCGCCATGCATTTTCAATGCTCTCACAGTTGCTACCAAAACAACACAGTCTGGAACGCACTCAGATGTGCGACACTTGATATCGAAAAATTTCTCCATTCCTGAGGATTAAAAAAGAAAATTAAATTAATGAAAAAGCTGAAGTATGAATAAACAAAGACATACAGGGTGACAGTGTATGAAATTAATACATTTTAGTGATCACTGAGCTGGCTTTTACAATTTTTGTAAAATTTTAAGCAGAAGTCTGAATACAGAAAAGGTTGTGGATAACTTTTTTTAATTTTTTCAATCTGATATCCTTCAGCAGGTCAACTCCTTCACTTTTCTACAGTAAATTTTGTGACAAGTCAAAGCATAAAGAATGCCTATCGTAGAAAGAAATATACAAGTTATCAACGTCTATATTTTCAAACACAAAATTTTAATATATATATATACAATGTCACTCCTACAATGCACTCTGGCGGTCTGCGACACCCAACTGCCACCTATGCCTATCCTCCCAGAGGTTTCGTCAACGCCCTGCCGCCATCCCTTTAAGGGACGTTGACGTCGCCAATTTAAAATTCACAATTCATCAAAATTTCAATTACTTACCAATATCAGATCCAAATCCAGCTTCTGTGACAACAAAACCATCTTCGCCAGTAATTTTGAGTGCTAGTAAATCGGCAATAACAGATGAGCAGCCATGGGCAATATTGGCGAATGGACCTGCATGTACAAGGATTGGTGTTCCTTCGAGACTCTGCATCAAGGTTGGCTCCAGGGCTTCTTTCAACAGAACCGTCATTGCTCCGGTCGCACCCTGTAAACCAGAAATAAATTAACAGGGTTTCCAGTTTTTTTTTTTCATTTTGGGAAGTCCAGATGAAATCCTGATTTTTCCAGATTTTTGACTGCTAAATCCTTATTTCATAATTTTTCCAAATCCTGATTTTTTGCGAAGGGAAATTAAAATTTTTGCATAAGCGCATGCGAAAGCAGAACTCTAGAATTAAGTTCCAAGGATTAAAAACAAGTGCAAATCGATGAAAATGTAAATAAACGCTACTGAACCAGACTTAATTGGCCATTCAGCCACAAAGACGATGAAATAAATACAAAAAGTGATTTTAAAAAAAAATCAAAAATTTCATGAGCTATCTGTGGTATTTAAACGATACCAATCTGATTTATGTCCAAAAAACGAAACGAACGAAATGGAAATTTTCGATTTTATGCTAACAGCAACACTGTGCAATATTGTGACACTAGCGCTCAAACTTGGAGTGGCCAAAATAGGGGAAGGTTTTGAGCCTTGATAACTCCTCTAATGGTAGGCAAGCTGCACAATAACGACCTCATCACTTCACGCAAGGTGAATGTAACTTCACAAAAGTAGCTTGACTTTTCTCAAATCCTGATTTTACGACAGATTTTTCCTCAAATCCTGATAGAATCAGAAAAATCGAGAAAATCCTGATGCTAGACACCCTGATTAAAAACTATGAGAATGATCACATCTTACAAAACCCAAAATTAATGTATTAACTTCTGCCCCTCTCTCACCTCCGACTACACTTTCACCACGGTACTGGACATTCAAACCACTTCTATGCTCCCTGAACTTGTTATTGTACTTAATACTTGAATTGAACCCTGATGAGTTACTTACCAAATCATCGGCTGTCACATTGTTCCCTTTGGAGTCTTGAGCAACGACCATCTTCGCTAACCTCTGCTTCATGTCTTCAAGACTTGTTGCCAGTGCAAGAATAGCCATGACTTCACTTGCGACAGAGATGTCAAAACATGTTTCTCTTGTGTGTCCCTTTTCTGTTGGTGATTGCCCAATGGTGATTTTCCTTAAGAATCTATCGTTGGTGTCAATTACTGAAAAAATAACAAAAACTTTGAACTTGAGAAATCTATCATCAATAGAGGGTTAAATGGACGTCATACTGCGAGAAGGAAATATTTCTGACCCATCCGTAAAAGCACTCATCTGCATAGAGAAACTAATGGCACAAACGTTGTTTCTAAAATGAGCCAAAAATTTTAGTTCCTTATTGCAAAATGTAGTCCAGATGAGAACCTACAAACAATGAGAATGAATTAATTTGAAGGGTAAGACTTCAGATCCTAGCAGGCTGGTTATTGAAATTTTGTGTTCATAGAGTGGACAAGATAAGACTACTGGAAAATGAAGTTATTTGATTGACTATTTCCCTTGTCTGCTCTCAACAACCAAGCTTTTTTGTGCCTATATAGGTCTTGATAAACATGATACGAAAAGTATCTCCTCAGTGACTGACAACCAGTCATTTTTTATCCCATAAAAGCACAAGTAAGAGAACCGACAGGTTACAGACGTATCTCATTCCATCTTAGTCTGGTTTTTTGCAGTCAAAAATATAACATAAAATTTCAATCATCTGCTCAATTTGGAAATTGATCGTGGTACACAACCTCATAAGAAGTGTGAAGGGTCCTTTAGACTTTAAATTAGCCTTAATTTGGATCCTACAGAAAACTGATTTTCAAAATTTTCAAGAGGAATCCCCATGACTTATTCTCTGATACAGATTGCAAGCCACTTCTTTATTTCATGTGCCAATACAGGGTCTTCAGATCCATTGTGATCAGGCAATTTTGAGCGTTGAACATGGCAGAATAAAACTTGAGCAGTGCTCTCTCAAAATGTGGGACGCTCTTCTCAGCTTGGTATGGTCCCTTTTCCTATAGAGAAACACAATGGTGAATAAATTGTAAAAAAGCCTTTGCATACCTCTGTTAAATGAGATAGTGTCTGGGTTCATATCCAGCCGAACGAATTTCTTGATTTCCTCTGCGGAGAGGGATTCTGGTTCTGTTTTTGCTATCCCTAGGCGTTCCAGCCGGCGAAGTTGAATAGGTGAGAAAGTTCTTTTTCCATTGATGGCTGGAACGAGACGGTTGAAGAGCGCTTTGTCACCTTGAGTTAGTTCATGGAAGCGCCTAGCATCAATTTGCGCTGTAAGGAGGTTATTCGCTGCTGTGACGGCGTGAATGTCACCAGTCAAGTGAAGATTGAATTCTTCCATCGGAATGACCTGTGAGTATCCACCACCGGCTGCACCACCTGGGAAAAGAGTTTACCTATAAGAACTATGTTATGGAATAGTATTTTTAGGCGACGCCTTTTCAGAGCAAGAAACCTTTAAGTGCGAGGAAATTTGCAGAGAGCGTCTAGTACTGATCTCTATTTCATTGTGTTGAATAGACTTAAAATTACTTATATTTTACAAGTAAATTGTAGGTGTTAATCCTAGGAAGTGATTTCCCTTTTTGGGACAAAAATGGTAAAAATAATTTTCAAGGAAGTATCAAGCACGTGCTATTGTAGTAGTCAAAGAAAGACATTTTTCATCTATTTTTCCCCAAAAATGCAGCCTTAAACCTCAAAAATGGAAATTGCTTCGCCAATTGGAGAAGTTAACTCGGTTTTTTGAAACTCCTGCCACTGACAAAGTTTAGCAATGCCATCATGACAGACGTGTTTTATTTCCAATAGAATATTATTTCAACAAAAATGAGGTGGTGCAGTTTTTGGCCTAGTGGAGTTGTATACTTCCAGCTACCCTTTTCTTTACCTACGTGAAAATAAACAAAAACACAGAAAGGGGGATAACCAAAGACTCTTCTTTCATTACCTTTGATTCCAAAAGTTGGGCCTTGCGAAGGTTGCCGGATGCAAGCAATAGAGTTTTTGCTTTTGTGCGCTGTAAGCGCTTGAACAAGTCCAATCGTCGTTGTACTTTTGCCTTCTCCAAGAGGTGTTGGCGTAATTCTATTGAAAAAATAGATAGAATTATTTCTAAAATTTTGACCTGATTTAAAAAAATTAAGAGAGGAGAATCGCTGACCAATGTCGCATCAACTATTCAGAGGATCCTTTCAACTTCAAAACAAATCAAATCTTTTTCGAAAGTTTAATAAAACCTTTCAGGAAAGATTTCTAGATCAGAGTTGGAGTGGTAAAGGTAAACAAAAAAAAATAACATTTTTGCTTTTCTACTCACCCAGTGACGACAACATATTTTCCATTTGTGCGATGTTTCAACCTGTCGTGAACAGCCAAACTGATTTTGCCTTTTGTTGTTCCATATGGAGAAATTTCATTTGGTTGCAAACCAATTTCTTTTGCTAACTCCATAATTTTCTTTGGTGTCTGAGATCTTGCAATTGTAATATCACTGAGGGCAAGAAAATATTATGATTTTTTTACAACTCCTCATAACAAAAAACATGAATTGATCAAAGAAACCTAAGTATTCAGAGGAAAATAAAGAAAAAATTGTAGGCTACATAGGATGGACAGCTTATGGAAACATGTTTCAGAGGTGCTCCTAATTTGAATGTTTCACTAACTAAAATACAAAACTATTCAGTTTATCTTAGATAAATCTACACCAATGACATCATTACATAGCTTATAAAATTTTACGTAGGAGTAGCTATTGGAATTGGGAATCCCTTGCTCTCGAGAAAATTATGAAAATTTTAAAAATTTAAGCATACTGTAATGGAATATGTAGCACAATCTATAAAAAAATTGAGTGTCCATTGAGGCTGCAATCTTGGCATCGCAAGTCTCAGAGTTTCTATAGTTGCACATAAGAATTGAGTTCTTTAAGATCAGCACACATCTTTCAAGGGTCATTGCAGGGTCAGAGTAGAAATTTAGCTTGCGTCAGCTTTGCCTCAGGGTATTTAGCTAAGCTTTCGAGTAGAGAGATCACCCTTGAAGGTTTAATGCCCTTAATGCTCTAAGAGGTCCCACAAAGTTGTGTTTGTGTGATGGTGGCTGCTGTAGCTCTGGTTCTTGCAGTTTTTAGTCTAGTTTCATTCCAAACAGTGATATGTGCATAATGAACCAAGAGTAAAGTCATTTTCCCCACCCAGGTATAGAACACCCGTTTCACACTGGTCTACTACAATACTTGATTAGGTACTCAGTGAGAAAATACTTGTTATAATCCTTACCTAGGAACAGGTCTCTGGAAGTTTAGCTTCAATGGCTCGAATAACCAAGATGATGAGAGCCTGGCACCAGCACTGCGCTGGGCAGAGATCACGGTGTTTTTCATGAGCATGGCCACGGTCATGGGGCCAACGCCGCCTGGAACAGGAGTTATATAGCTGGCAACTTGAGCTGCTTCGTTGAAGGCCACATCTCCAACAAGTCGCGACCCAGACTTCTTGGTGGCATCTGAAAACAAAATGCTTGCTCTTAGTATAGTAACACAAAACTTTAAAAAAATTGATAATAAGGTAATTAGATGATGAAATATTCTATTCCTTCCAATTGTACAAGTAATGATTTGCCTGGGCAAACTAAAAGCACGAGTAAAATATAACTTAATCTTTGTTAGCTGTACAAGTGTCATTATCTGAGCGTATCAAACAACATAGGCTGAAGGTACGTATACACTGTGCCTAGCTGTTGGAAAAGAATGTCCTTGATTTTCCAGGTTTATTTGAACCATAGTGACAGAAATTCTCCAACTTTCTGGAAAAGCAATCAATGACACAAATGTAAAGAATGCAGTGTTACAATTAATTTCTAAGTTGACATTAAAGGTTATTGTTTTTTTTCTTAATTTATGACTCTTCAAAATCTTTGTCCCAACAACGACAAAAATCCATTGCATGGACAAAAATCTTGGGAAAAAAAAAAAATCAGAGAATCCTAAAAATTCCCTTTTACCTGAAATTTAGAGTTTGATTTATTGTGTCCTAAGAAGAAAACATTTTCCTCCAACCAGACAAGAGAAGACAACCAAAGCTTTCAAAGTTTTCCAAAATTACCTGGAATTGCGTTGATCCCACAATCTATAACGACTGCTCCAGGTTTGATCCAACTTCCTTTCACGAACTCAGGCTGACCAATGCCCACAACCAGGATATCAGCCTTCTTGGTCTAAAATGAAAAATTCCAAAATTCAGTACGTACATTTAACAAGAGTTTGAAGAGTTTTGAGAGTTGAGAGTTTTGAAGGCTTTGGAAAGTTTCCTCAACACTGAGAAAGAAAATATAGATTTCTTGGGAAATTAAAAACTCAGAGAGACTATGTTATTTTGATGACTAGCGCCAAAATGTATGAAGAAACAAAAAACCTTGGACGTCTGTAAATAAATTTATGGTAAATAGAAAATGAGCAAAAGCGAAACATTTCTTGGAGTTATGAAAGTTAGTTTAATTTAAAATTTGATGGAAACCAAACACAGTTCATCATTGCAAGAAAAAAAAACACCTTGAGAAGATTCGCCAATTTTTCTCTCGGAAACTTCAAAAAAAGAAAAAAAAAAGAAAAGAAAGAAAAAGAGAAAAAGAAAGAAAAAAAAGAAAGAAAAAAAAGAAAGAAAAGGATTAACAATGCTAAAATTGAAGAAGAAACACAACCAGGATGTTCCTCACCAACTACATGCCCATTCTCAACTGGAATAAAAGCTGGAAATGGAAAAATAAAAGCACGAGAATGAGCATGCAACAGACTGAGGTAGAAATCAGTGCATACAACCTCAATCAGCGTTAATCATTACTGGAGAGGCATTATCTGCAAGCAAACATAAATCTGCAGACAGAGGTAGGTATCTCAAGCTAAGTTTTGATTAATTTGCCCAATATTTGTGGAATAGATATGACAATAGACCTCAGATAAGACCCGATGAATTAAAATTAATTGATAAGATTAGTCTGTTTTGGAGAACAGAAAAAGGAACGAACAACTTACATGCTGCGAAACATCTTTTGAATGTGAGTGACAAACAGTGATGGTTGCGTTATTCCATTTCAGGAGTTCGGAGATGGGGGTGCCAACTATTTTACTTCGGCCTAGGATCACAGCTTCGCTACCTGAGATTTTCACTCCAGATCTAAAATAATTTCGAGGATAATCAATTTCAAAGGACTGATGAGTTTCATGCATTCTTGATGAGCGAACACTAATCACACATATTAAACTAAATCAAAGGACAATAAGGATTATGCTCTGGAAAAAATGTGTACCCATATTTGAGTCTTTATTTGATAATGACTTGTCTTAATTTACCTACTTTACTTTCCCCTGATTTTTTCCTCCATTTTTCTTGTGACTTGTGAATTACGTTAGACTCAGGAAATATTTTTCCCATGTTCATTGGGCTTTCAAGTTCGACTAAGTCTGACCCAAGAATCTAATCATCATAGAAAATTTATGAAACTTTGAAGATTTAGATCATTACTCAGCGTTTGGCTGAAACCTCACCATCCTTGAACCCACCTCCAATTTAGTGATAGGGCCTCCTGGCCCAGAAGCATATAAAAGTCGACACCGCGAAGTTAACTTCTAAAGGATTTCAAGCCTGGTGGATATTACTTAGTAAAATATAATGTTAAATCCTAATGAGATTATACTACATACCTTTTGATAAGTTCCAGACATCCAAAGGGGGTACAGGGAACGAATCCACTAAAATCTCCCACTGCACATCGTCCTTCGTTTATGATGTTCAAACTGGACATTGGAAAGAAAAAATGATTGAAAAATGGATCTGTCCTCTATGGATGAGGGGATTCTGGAGAATTTATCTCAGGTTGCAAGGATGATTTTAAGATACTTAGGCTACAGAGATGTAATTTTAAATAATAGAACTATAGAATCGTAAGAGCAGCAAAAAGTTTTGCTATTTTCACTTTAGAGCTTGTGATTACAAGTTTGACTTGCTGTGACAATCAGCAAGAACATTTTTTGGTCTAACTAAGCTAGCAAAAACTGTGGAACTCCTCTCTAGATTTGAAGAGTCTCTTTCAGGGAGAATATTTGATGAAAAAAAAAAAAATCTGAGTCTTTACATTGTTCATACATACAAAATGCATAGTTTAATAAATATCCTGAGAAAATGTCTAAAGTTTGGATTGAATTACCTACTAGGGTGCCTGCTTGGCATAGCACATTTGACTTTCTGTTCTGCAGGGCTAATGTCAGAAAAGTCAATTTTCAGAGCTTTAAGTATCCCTGCACAATTATAAGCTTTAAGATTTAAAAGGAAAAGTGATTGTTTTTTATATGAAGATCACAAAATTAACATTCCTCCTCTGAAAAATACTATCACACAGCAGTTAATTTTTCAAAAACTTACCCGTCAACATCTTTGGCAGGTGAGACAGTGTTGGTGACTAGATGACTATCAATTTTATTCTCGGCGTCTAAAGGCATTTGAACAATGATTCCATGTACATTAGGGTCATCATTCAGCGCATCAAGTTTGTCCAGAATCTAAAATAAACAAAATATGCCATTAAACAAAGTTTATTGTAACAGTTTAAAAAAAATGGCAAAAGTTCTAAAAAAGCCTTGTGCTTTCTGTCTCTCAGCATTCATTTTTTTATTATGGTATCATTACATGAACTACATTGAGCAAAACAGAACTAGTGCGATTACAACAGTGTTTTCAAAACTGTGCAACTTCTCTTTTTCTTTTAAAAGTACTCAATATATGTACAGTATTAAAATCTACACAATTATTTACTTTTAAAATTAACAATTTTTTGGTGGGCAGCACAACCTATTTGGTAATTTGGGAGATTTTTTAGGTAATTATGAAGAAGCAACATTTTTACAACACTGTAAGCATGCTACTTAATTTTGCTAAATGCCATCTATGTGATGGTGTCCATCTTACATAGCAAAAAAATTGAAGTCTTTAAGATATAAAAGAGGAAAATATAAACTAATAACCACTCAACATTTTCCAGAAACAAACTTGATTTGTAATCTCCAGTCTTCTTTTCGGATAGGGTTTCTCAGTGCATTGAAATTAGAATTCATTTAATTTTTTTCATTGTCATAACAATATTGTGGCTTGTATAGATATCCTGAGCAGCATGAAAATGGAATTTATTGTACCTCTTTCTGAGTTATGGATCGGGGCAGCTTTATGTGTGTGGCTTTTATTCCAATGTCGGTGGCTGCTTTCAGTTTTGCCTGGATGTAAACATTGGAATCTTCACGATTGCCAACCTGCACAATAGCTAAACCTGGCTGGAATCCTTGAAAATCTGCAGCTAATTTTTTGCATTCTTCTGTTAAAGATGCCCGAATCTCTCTGTCAAAAGAAATAAAATTCACTTCATTAAAATAGGACACTGATGAATAGAGGTTTTTCAGAGTGCTTGATGGCAGACTGGATACTCGTAATGTTGGACAGGAAGATCAGACAAAATTACTGAGCTCATGGATGATGACCATTTACAGGAATTACCTTCTATCACAAAAATGTTATCATTTTATTGCTTTGACGTTAAATTTTTTTTGGAGATTAGATTTTTTTAATTTTGAGAAAAAATCTAAATAAGTATCACAAATTGATTCATTACCTAGGATAAAAATGATGTAATGATTTGAAAAAAGGTAAAGTATTTGAATGAAAAATGATTCATAGGTCTTGGATGAAACGCTGCTAATCTTCTCTTCATTTTTTTTTTTTTTTTTTTTTTTTTTTTTTTTTTTTTTTTTTTTTTTTTTTTTTTTTTTTTTTTTTT